GACATTTTTTAAATTAAGACTTGAGACTCGACTTGGACTTGACAATGATGACTTGAAGACAACACTGGTATATGGTGCTCCACAATGTTCAACACAATTGCTTGGTTTTGCAGGACCAGTAAAACATTTTACATGCGTAATCCTGTTTTTGTTGTCTCCTTTTAGTTCCAACTGAGTAGAGCAGGCTAAGGGAGTACACTGTTCTGTGATAGTTTAGAAACATAAGCAAAGCAATGGGGGAAAGAACAGAAAGTTAGAGGGAACTGCTTAGACCAGCCAAAGCCGAAAAGGCTCATTAATTGGTCTCCAACCTCTTCTTAAACTGTTCAAGTGAGAACTATAAAGCTAGATGCTCAGTCAGGAGTAGTTATTGTCTGGACGGGTGTTACTTGAATTTAGATAAGATTTGATCTATTTAAGTGAAATTTCAATTAAAATATACTCTGTTTTTCAAAGAATGTTTCTCTCCTTAAAGTTGGTATAAAAACACCACTTCTCATGCTGTTTCACTTTGCTTTCAGCCAAGATGCCATTAACTTGACTCAGCTCTGTTGGTGTAAAAATCAAATTGAGCTGATCATGCAGAGGAGGGAGATGGCCTATTCAAAAATCTCAGCTACCCACTTCTTCCTAAAGAGATTCTCCCCTTGGCCACCCCAAAAAGATACGATTGTTGATAGCTGAGAATATGAAACACAATGTAGGACACAATCAAAATTATGCTAGTGTCTTGTCCCTAGATGCAGGGCAGGCAGACTCCCTTGTCCTCTTTGTTCCCTGCCCAGAATAATCACCCAGTGATTCCCACTTGCCCATTTGTGGTCACTGCCTCAGTGGTGTGGCATCTGGTGGGTCAGGGATATGGTGCCTCTGTGCATAACCTTCTGTTGGCAGCAGGCACCTGAGAAAGAGCAGCGGACACAGCAACTCTCCAAAGGCTTAGGCAGTTCCCGACTCTAGATTAGTCCAGCAACAGTCAAGGTTTGCTCCTCCCCGCCCAGGGAGAAGCCCAGAAGGCAGATCTCAACCCTGTAGATCTCTGGAGAATGACCAAAGTCCCAGTCATGACAACTCATGGCTTCCTTCTCTGCTTGATTCCTGGACAGCATGGCTCCACTGCAGCTGTGCTGCTGAGATTTACTGGATATGGTGGGCCCTCCGTGAAGGACATGTAGTGTCCAAGTGCAGGGGAGAAATGAGAATGAGCTGGCAGAGAGATAATGCAGCCTAGATGAGTGATTCTCAACCAGAGGCACCTTGCAAGAGCTTCAATTCAGTTTTAGGGAGTCCGCCAACATAAAATAGATAGCAGGACTGGTGTTAACTTCACTGGGAACCATGGCTGAAAGCCCAAGCAACTTGGCCTCAAAGGGCCCCTGCTTGCTAACACCTACCATGGCTTTTAATCTATGGGCTATGCAGAAAACCCGTTGTGATGGTACCTGTGGTCTGTGGGGGGTAGGGAGGAGAGAACTCAAAAAATAAAAGGTTGAGAACTCCTGGTCTAGGATGTATCATCTTTATAGTGAGGTCTTGCTAGGATCTGAGAAGTGCCCTTACGCAGCCTCAAAGACTCTCCCTATCCCTATGCACAGAGCCCAGCTCCACAGATGGTGCTTCATGGGGTGTAGTGTGGTAGAAATAGCTTTAGGAGGTGAGCTGCTCCCACATTCTCCCATGGGGAGAAGTGAAAATTAGGTCTAGATCAAAAGAAATAAGTCTCCATTCAAAATTATACTTTTTCTTAGCTGGGATTGAACCTTTGGTTAAGTGCTTTTTAATGCATGACTAGACCATATTGCCTTTACACTATTATTTGTATTGACACTGTGATTCTAAGGAGGTAGACCCCATTCCTAGGCTAGCAGGAAAGCACTCATTCTTTTGGCCTATGAAGCGCCACAGACGGGCAATCAGTGCTGACACGGGAAGGATCATGAGACCTGCTCTAGGCTAGAGAGACATTAGAGTCTGAAATAAGCATGGCATTTTGATTTCTATGGAGACTGGCAGGAGGACAGCTGTCTTGGAATAGAGCCTGGCCATGGGCTGAGCTGAGTTTGGGGAGAGTTACATGGGCTGGGACAGGAGGGCAGGAGTAAAACTACTGAATTCCCTGGCAAGTGCGGCAGCAGAAAGCCTGATGCAAGCATGACTCTGAATCTGGAAAAGAGCTAGAAAAATCTACTGAATAGGAGCAAAGGTAAAAGTACTTGAGGCAATTGGTTACAAGCATAAGAGCATGAGTACACTTTTGTTCCAGAATAGTGGACAGGAAACACTGTGAAATTCAATACTGTGTTTTCAGCTTCATGGAGTTGGTCACTAACAAAGGGAAACTGAGGCCCAGAAGGGCCAGCTGAGGTGAAGGGAAAGTATTATGCTATGTCCTATACCTAATATGAGAAAGCTGCTGTCCCCAATGGCATGAGTGCACACTGTCTCTCTCTCTGTACAGATTAGAAGCTATGACAGAGTGATTAAGCAACTTCCGTAAGGTCACACAAGAATTGACAGATCTGGGAGTTGGGCTCAGAAGATCTGAGTTCTCCCTTTATAACTCAATGTGTGTGTTTTTTTCTAACCTTTTGCTTCACACACATTGTGACTTTGTACAGTCTGTTTTTGCTTTTAAAATGGTATCAAGTTGTATAAGAAATCTAGTTTCTGCTACATAAAACACTGTGAAATAAATACCGTGAAACATCATATACTTCATAGAACCTTAAGGAAGGGAAGCTATTGTTCCCCAAAAGTGTATATCTTCATGCTAATTCTACTCAGTCAAATTGCATTTAATTATCTAATGTTATGATTACGCTTGCTTAAAAATTACTGTTACAGCCTTTTGTATTTGCTTTCTTTTTTCACTTAAGAGAACATTTTGTTTGTGACTAAAAATGGTGTTATTGTTCTTTCAACAACTACAAAAAAGGGACGCTGACTTTTTAAATTAAGTTTGGAGCAAATTCCTGCTTTATGGAGCACTTTCAAATTTCGATGGTTATTTTCATGCAGTCTGAAACTTTGGATGAAAGGATATTGCAGTTTTAGCTGAATAGGGATATTCAAGCTGCTCTGCACCACTGCCCTCTCCCAGCCTGCTTTGGTTGGCTTTATCATGATGGTGGCAAAAAAGCTCTCTCCATCATATTCTCTCAGGCACATTTCCAGTGCTTCTCTGATTGCTATCGGCAAAGAACAAATCAGCCCTGCCCCCACACTGGTTCTGAAACATTTTAATTGTGCTGCTATGATTAGGAAAAACAGGTGATAGAACATGGGATTTCTTAAATTCTGTTTCTTTACAAAGAATGTGCACAAAGTCTTCTTTCCCTCCTCACAAGGAAGCAAACAACAGGAGACAGCTCTTTGCTGACAGTCCCTAGCCTCTTTCCAAGTGGCACTCTGCCCAATAAAAGCTCACAACTTTCTTTCAGGGCCATTTTACCAGTGCTTCCCTTCTTGTCTTGACTTTCTGCTGCATCTGTCTCCTTCTGTCTCCCCAATACACCTACCCTCCCACTCAGGACCGCCAATGGAAAGGAGAGCGGAGTGCAAAGGGGGCAATTGCCCTGGGGCCTGGCAATTCAAAGGGGCTCAGGCTCCACAGCACCAAACCCTTTAAATTGTTGCTGGAGTGTCACACAATCTAGCAGCACTAAGGGCTGCGGAAGGAAGCAACTCCAAGAAGCGATGAGGGCTGGCTCTCCTCAGCACTGCCCCTTCCAGGAGCACAGAGCTGCACGCTCATATACACGCTGCGCGGGGCCCATGGAGGTTGTCAGCTCCACTGACCCACCAAACAATTAGCAGCCCCTGTGCTTGTGATCACTCCCCAGTCAAAAACACTTCGGGCCTCAAGGATCAGTTCTTATTCCAGCCTTGTCATACAGATCTGCTATTATTTCAACCATCACTAAACAAAAGAACATTTAATTCCTCCTTCATTTAGCCTGAGAGGCAACTATCATGCTCTGCAGCTTCAATGAGGTTTGTGACTGCCCATGGGGTTAAAGACACACTGTAACCTCAACCACTCTACCTCATCATAACCATATTAATTGTTCAGAACTGAGATTATTAGAAACAACTTCAAGGCAAATTCTCTGCCCTGCCCTGTCAGAGGGCTGCAAAGGGAGCAGAGATTGAAGGACAACCCCAACTAAATTACCACACGTGTTTGTGACAGTTCCCATCAGGAGGGCAGCCAGCAGTCTGTACTAGGGATGTACTAAATAGTCGTGTAACCGATTAATCAATAAGCAAAAGCTTATAGGTTAATACTATAGACTGCACGCATTTCATTCCTCATCCTCCCCAACTAAATTTTTTAGCAGGCTGGTCAGCAACCCGGCTCAGTCCTGGCTTGCTACCACCCCTGCTGCAGCTCTGCATTTAAATTGTATTAGGAGCTAGGCTGGCAGGCAGCCTGGCTCAGTTCTGGCTCATGCCAGGTCCAGGAGTACAGACACCCGTCCCAGATGAGCTGCTGTCATCCCGTGCTGCTGCCTCTGTATCAGAGGCAGCAGCGTGGGACTACAGGCAGCCGGTCCGCAAGGGTAGCTGGTTTTTAAACTGGCTCCTCTCGTAGACTAGCTCTCGCCTGGCACCCCACACTACTGCCTCTGATACAGAGGGAGCAGGAAGGAGTGGCAGGGAGCTTCTCAGAAGTGGAGCTCTGCCTCCAAGTGCTATAGAGTAGTTGTCTAACCGACAAGAATAAATGAGATTACTTGACTATTCAACTAACCGTTAAACACCCTAGTATGTACCATTTTTTATTCTTCCTCTGTCATGTGTGAACTAAAGGAAGTGGCTGTAGAGTGATGCATTCTGGCAATACTCAGCTGTCAGATGGTCCCTGGGGACTATGAACAAATGATGCAGATGTAGACCACACTCCAGACAGTTCTGTTTTGTGACTTTAACAAGATTGGGCAGAGTCGAGCACCCATGACTTATTTTTTTAAATAGTCTGTATATCTCAAAGAAGATACAAAATTGCTTGTGTAAACTTTATTTCAAGTATTTAAGGAAATCATTAATACAGTTTGTTCAGTGAAGTGCTTCTTTATATAGCAGAACAAAATAGCAAGGAAATAAACTTCCAAACTCATCAACAAACACACTGATCTCTCTCCTATTGCACATGCCCCACCCTCTGCATTTGCACAATTTGGCCCTAATCATTACCAGTAAAAAGTTAACAGAAATTCTACTTTCAGGCAAGCGAGATAATGGAGACCAACCCTGCAAAAGGCACACTCTTTGGAATGTGTACAATACAAATGGTATTGTGCACAGCTCTGCCACTGTAGTGTAGCTACTCGCTTCAACAATGGAAAGGGCTTTTCTGTCGCTTCAGTAAATCCGCCCCCTTGAGAGATAGTAGCTAGGTCCATGGAAGAATCCTTCTATGGACCCTAGATGTGTCTACAATGAGGGTAAGGTCAACTTACCTAGATCGCATGGCACATGCAATTTTTTTCATAGCCCTGATCAATGTAGCTAGGTCACCATACGTTATAGGTGTAGACAAGTAATACTAGGCAAAACTCCTGGAGATATCGGAGTAAGAATTGCAGCATTTGATCATTAGTGTGTAACCAATGTAGCTGCTATGCCTATATGTAGACACAGAGACTGACTGTGTGGACTGTCAAATACTAGTAGATGCATAATACACTGTAGAATAGTTAAGCACTCAGAAAAGGAATCTAAAACGTCCCAGGCTAATTAAGCTTTGCTCAGTTTGATTGGAACAGTACCTAAGAAATTGAAATACAGCTGCTGAGTTTTATAGCCAAAATTCACCACACTTATGAATGCATTGGGCTTGAGTCCTGACAGTAATTACAGATCACAATTTTTGCTTAATAGAACATTAATACAATACATTTCCAGTCATTTTTGTTAAGGGTTAAACTATAGCCTTTGAAATCTCCTGAGAAATGCAGCCCTGTACTGCAGACATGGTGCTGTAACTGCTGTGTGTTACTAACTTTCAATTCTGAAGACATGAGGTTAAAAAGCTGAATTCCTCACATTACCCAATATTTTCAATGATTTTAGTGGAAGATGTGGGCCTGTGGAAGAAAAGGGAAATGAAACTTATTGCTTCATCTCTGTCCCATTTGACACATCTCAATTACTGAAAAGTTTGTTCACTAGTTTTGTGAAGAGTCACTTAAGTTAAAGTAAATGTGTTGCAAAGCAAAAGGAAAAAATAGAGTTTAAATACAGCAACTCCTTAATAATTACACTGTATCAGTAGTAAAAGATTAGTCTTCTGACATTTAACTTTGCTGATTGCCTCCTTCCTAATGACATTCCTGAAAGGTATCACATCAAAAATGTTTAAAAACAAGGTATGAAATCCTGTATCAACTAAAGCAAAACACTCTTTAATTTAAATAGGACCAGGATTTCACAGATCTCAGCAAAAATAAAACTATGCCATATAGCATCATTATAACACCAAACAGTAATATTTTTTCAAAAAGCAAATTATCAGGGCCTGTCCAAAATCTTTCCACTGACTTCAGTGGACTTTGGAACAGATTTTTAAGGAATAAGTAAAACTGAACAAGCAAGAGGTGAATCAATGTTTTAGCTGTGCCTTCCAAATACTGCACCTTCACTATGTAAATCCTACAAGGTACAGATGGTACTGCATAGACTTCTTTATGTCCATTTGCAATCACATTTCCCTCTTATTCTGTTGTGTTTTATGGACAAATCATTTTCTCTGCAAGAGTTTGGTTATACAAGCATACATCTGTCAATCTCAAGATCAAAAGATTATTTCATCCTTTAATTGTATTGTAATCTGTCCAAGAGAACAGAATTATACTAGAAGACTTGACGCCACCCAATTATTATTCCAGAGCCCACATTTTGCACAAGTAAACTCATTTCTTTCAACTATATGACAGGAGCATTGCTCAATTTCTTTTAATAAACCTGATTCTTTTCAAATGTGTAAGTGCAATCAAGATGTAGCCTTTGGAAGTAAAATGTATTTCTTTATATCAGGTATACTGAAAAAAAAATACAGGACCATTATAATGTAATTGAATGGAAATTTATCAGATTAATGGGCCAATTCTACAGAGGCAATATAGTATAAATCACTGTAAGGTAGCGAAAATGTTTAGGTTTTCTGCCACTTGCAATGCACAATAAGAGTTTAACTATGAAATTTATAGCAAATAACTATTTCCTGTATCATGGGATCAATTTTTAATCAAAAAAATAAACTTGCTCAAATGAAGAAAATTCAGCAGTAAAAACAGGGATATAATTGTAAATCAATGCTTTGGTCTCTTCATCCTTATTAGGAAAATAGTGCAGGCTCTTCCGGGCTGTAAAACATTTTAGAAAAACAGATTACTCTACTGTTATCATCCATGAGAATATCTTTCTTGGTGAAAAAACTCATTCTATATAGGATTACAGTAAACAGTATAGTAATAGGGATACTTTATCCTGGAAGAATGTCAGTTTTTAAGAGCAATCACTGGTGCCAAAAACTTTGATTCTTGCAGCACTGGAGACACATGCAACACCAGAACTAATACATTACAAGACTGGTGTGATGTTGTCAGATTAATATATGATTGTAAAAACAATTTTTCTGCCTCTGTTATATAACTGCAGCAAATCTTATACCAAGTATGAAACATGGCCAGAAAGGGTTGAGCATCCTGCAGGCTAACTGACCCAGAGTCAACCTGTATAGAGATGTTAGAAAAGTATGCAAATGGTAATTAACACCATTCAACAGTAGTTAGGTTAGAACTCTGAAGTGCAAACCTGTATTATTAGAAATCAAGAGGTAATACTAATTGTATGTGTTTACTTAAATCTTGTTAGAGGTTAGCCATGTAAACAGACAGTTCCTGTCTATTACCATAGATGCTGATTCAGAGATCAAAGGGAATATTAACATTTATATGACTCGTGGGTGAAATAATTTCATTATCTATATGTCTCTCTAAAGTTTGTAATAAACTGCTTAATGCATAAATTATCTTATATTAATTACCATGATGCTTGAGAAACAGAAGGAAGGTTACATCCAAAGTTCACCCAGAACTGAACAGTCAAGGGGCTGCTTGGAAACTATATCAACTCCCTGATCCTTTTTCTCTCAGATCTGCTTAAGGTTTCAAGTAGGGAAAACCTAAGCCAAGGAACCTAAGGCCCACAGGCTTGATGTGGCCTCCCGGCTTGCCTGGATCTGGCCCCCAAAGCTTAGGGCTCCCACCCCAAAGCACTGGGGAGCCTGAAATGGCACTCCAGTCCTTCTCGTGCACACAAAATCTACTAGCTTGGGTCCACCCCCTCCACCCCCCAGGCTCTGGTATGTGAGGGGAATGTGGGAAATGTCTCTCCCCTCAGTCCAGGTCATGTCAGTAAAGGTTTGGGTTTGTGGGGGTTGCCTCCCACCACCTATGTGCAGCCCCTGACTGATTATTCTGTGGGTCAGCAGCCCCCCAAACCAGAAAAGGCTCCACACCTCTGACCTAAGCCATAAGGATTGAGATCCCAGGATACTGTGGGGCCCCTGAAATGGACATTGAATTGACAGTTCTTCCATCAGTCCAGAGTTATTTTAAAGCTCACTGTCTCTACTATGAATCTGATCGCAGAACTGGACTCCGCTCTGTCTGTATATTAATCTTTTAATCAATACGCTCTCTCTTTTATTCTTAAATAAATTTTAGTTTAGTTCATTGGCTACAAGCTCGTATTTGGGGTAAGATCTGAAATATTCATTGTCCTGGGAGGTAATACTTTGGGATTGGTAGAAAACGCCTTTGACTTGGGTATCTGAGTGGAGGCCTAATACTGGATCGCTTGAAGAGAATTGTGGCTGGCTTTTGGGTAACCAGTAACGTATTCAAAAAGCTGGTTTGTGCTGGTTAGTAAATCTAAGTATTGGAATAACCACCATCTTTGGAGAGTAGCTCTCCCATTCTTTACAGTTTGGCCCTAACAAACTGAGTAACATCAGTTGGCTCCTCTGGAACCCTGCTCACAGCTAGCATACTAGAAATCAGAATGCTGGGAAAGAATGTAAGGAAAACAAACAAAATTCTACCAACTCAGGTTTTTCACATTTGGGACTAGACACACATTAAAATTAACATGAAGTCCTAAGAAATATCACTGATGAAAAGTAAACTTTGTTTCAGCACAAAGGACTGGCTGTTAAATACTCACGGATGCTGAGTATAAATCTCCATCAGTCAGCAAATATTTTCTGTTTCTTTCCTGTGTTTTATTTTTATGGTCAGGAGAAAATAGGCAGGATGGATTCTGACCTACATAAAAATCGTTCAGGGGACAGTGCTGGCATTGTTGTCATTGTATAAACAACTGTTGTCAATGTGGTCTCAGGACCTTCCTGGACTGCAATCTTTTTTAGCCAGCTGGAGTAATTGCTAGAGCCATTCTGTGAGGATTATCTACTGTATCTGAAGGGACTAACACGGAAGAGTTTGTGATCTCGAGTAAGAGACAGATTGACATGGCTAGGCTGGACTGTAGGTTGCCTTGCAAGAGGAAAGTGTGCGGGTCTTTCTCTGAGCCTAGAAACAATTTCCTTTTTATTTGTGTGCATTTCTCTACTGGTTTATTGTAATTACCCCAAACAAAACAAAACTCAGCTAGTTTCTGGAAATAACATCTCCCATTCATTATCTCATTCTATCTACTTTGCTCAAGGCAGAGTGAGACTGGGAGGTGAATAAGAGCTCTGAGTTCACCTTGAGCGCAGCCTTAATTCTAAAGTTTCATTGGTTACTGGTGTCTGCTCAAAAGTTTATATCAAATTAAAAATTGACACACTCCTCCTGTCAAATTACTGAAAGGAGTTTCTCCGCTTCCATAAGAATGCTTGGTTTTTGTTGTTACTTTTACTTAACCTTTCTGTTTACGATGTCTCTTTTTAATAAGCCTTTAAAGTTTGCATGGTACGTGCTGCTAGATCATAGGTATAGTATTCTGACACTTTGAAAGGGGTCTTTTTTTACTGTTAAAGGATGGTCTCTCTGAAACTGGATTTTATGTATATAACTGAAAAAAGAACTATTTACCTTCATTCACCAAGAAGTCAGCTGTGTAATGTGCAACTTTCATAGCTGATGGGGAACGTGATATGCCTGCTGAGATCTTCCATTCAAAAGGATTTTTCTCTGGATGCCACTGGACACCATAAATTGGGTATTTATGTGCTGTGTGTAAATAAAGTTTTCATCAATACCAGGAACACTTAGGTCCTCACTTAAATAGTGGTAAACACAAATTTATTACAATGAACACATTATTAGAGATCTCACTTATAAAACTCACATATATTTCATAACTTCTATAATGATACCAAAAAGCTTTAAGCAGCTTGTAAAATGTATTCCTACCTAAACCTTCACATACAACATTTCAGAACAAGAACAATAATTATTTATTTAAGATTTAAAATATTTTGGACAATTATACATTATGAGAAATTAAAAGTTTCAGGATAACGTTAAATGAAAAAGTGCTTAATTTTATGCATACAAATTTTTGCAGGTCACTGTTTCACCATTGTCATGTGATTGCTTTAGCAGCAATATTTTAAAAAATAAAAAAGAAATTGCCTCATTATAAAAGTAAGAGACTACTAGGAATGGTATTAATTGCAGTTACTATCCACCTTCAATCCTATCCAATATATAATGTACACATACCAGACATTTCTCTTACTGCATAGCTTCTAGCAGAAAAATGACAAAAATATTTTCTCTAGCTACTCTAGCAAATCAAAACAACAGTTTCTGGAATTAAATATACCAGGTAAAGGCACAGGTAATGCAGGAGTGTTTAGAAGACAGCAATTACCAGCGCTGTGGCCACAGGAATGGGGGATAGTGTCACCTCCTCACTAGCATGAATAGCTCTCCCTGTACCACAAGCACAGATAACGAGAGCAACATAGATATGTCTGTAAGACAGTCAGCAGTGGAAATACAGAGTAGACATGACACACTGAGAAGGGGTTTGAGCTACAGAAACTGGAGGAAATATGTAAAGTATGCTAACATATCTGGGTGTGATGCAGTGGGGTGGAAAGATAGAACAATCATAATCTGAAAAACACATGTCTAAAGTAAAGGGAGGTACAAAGTAAAGGGAGGTACAACTTATCTTCAGACAAAACGTATTCGCTCATGAACCAGAAGGTGGGCAGTGCAGACACTTATCTCCTTATTCTAATATTAAATCTGTATCAATAAATTAATAACACCATCACCATGCTACTGAGATCTTCCATGCAAAAAAAGCCAAATGAACAACCACCTCTCTCCCACTAAAAAATCCTGTCACAGTTTACATGTTAAAATTATCATTACCTTCCATTGTTGATATAAACTCTACATCTGCATGGGTATTAGTTGTTAGAACCTTATAGAAATTTCGTAGCTTCTCATTATTTGTGAAATTCTGCATTAAAAAGGGACAGAAAAATATTTTATTTCTAGATTTAAACACAGCAAACTCATTTTGTTTCACTAAAACCAAACAATCAAATACCTTCATGGAGAGACTCCAGTGATGAAAGTGTGCTGTCAAAGGTTCAGTGGCAAGTTTCTGCAACAAGTCATCTGGAAAATTCTTGAACATCCTACTGCTTTTCACAGCTTGTACAAAAAAAAAGACAAAGAAATATTCTCACCATCAGGTTGCCAAAGGAACATCATTATTAGGATGGAGACAAATGTTATGAAGTATTGGCTGCAATCATTTTAATTCCTTTTGATTCTGTTTTTTCACTTAATTTTATTAATCAAAAATACAACACAAACTAGGGATGTAAAAAAAAAAAAAAAATCCCCATTCAATCCCGGTTGAAATTTAATCAGTGAAACGTTCCCGGTGGCCAATGGTCCCATGGGCTCTCAGCAGCCTTGTGGACTCCCTGTGGTATTAACTGGTAAAGTTAACCAATAAGCTAATGCATATTGGTTAACCAGTTAAATTCTTACATCCCTAACCCAAACATACCCCTGGAGCAAATCTGTAATAAAGCTGTGGCAGAATGCAGACTAGCAACTCTCACTAGGCCACAGGCTGCACCCTGACCCCTTGAAGGTCCAGTTCTGCCTCCTTTTCTCATGCTGATTAGCATCGCATTCCACCACTGATTTCAATAGCTTAGTGAGGTACTACTGAGTGGTTAGGAACAGCAGAATTTGTCTAACTAAGACAAGAAAACAGGATTTAGTCCATAGATTAATTACTGGAGATCAGTGGACAAAATCCTGTTTATTGGTACTAGAGAAAAAGCCTTAATAAGCATCATCAGAGCTTGCTTGTGCCACCCTTTTGCTGAGCTCCATCTCACTTGAACTAGTCCCACTGATTTCAATACTCTGTATTATAGCACAAGGATTAGGGATGCGAAAGGTTAACTGGGTGTTGCTTACCAGTTCCAGTTAACCAGTGGGGGCTGGAGCAGCCCATTGCCCACCGTGAACACAGGTGCTCCAACCTGGCCGGAGCAACCCCTGTCTGTGGAAGGCCGGGGTGTGCCGCAGGCAGGGTCTGTCATGACTGGGCTAGAGTGTCCCCCCCATGAATCAGTTATCCAGTTAAATATCACAGTTAACCAATTTTACACCCCTACCAAAGATACAGAATTTTCATTCAACTCATTACAGAGTTAGGAGGCTGGATCAAAATTATGGCTCTAGGGCCAAACTTTAAAAAATTCATAGCTTTTTAAAGCCATAATTTTGTTCAGACATCTCTCTATTTGAGAAATACAATTTGCTCTCAAACTTTTATTTTTTCAGTTATAGAATTTTATTGGTTTTCATATAGAAGTAGTACTATCAATATAATAAAAGAATCACCAATTTCAAATCTTCAATTGTAAATAATGATTTATTACAAGAAAAAAATCACCGTGAATCCAAATGACATTAGCAATGTAACAGGACTGTTCACCTGTAGTAAAGTTCAGTGGGAATGCAAAATCTTCAGTATCAGTCCAAGTTAGTAAAACCTCCTCACTGGTGAGGTATGTAAGCTCTTCATATCCCAGACATGTTCCCCATACAGGAAAATAATCTCCTTTATCATTGGCCTTTAAAATAAGAAACAAAAAAATAAATAAATGGGTCAATACGTACAGTAATTTATGTACACACTCACAGACTGTAAATCCCTTTTACTGCTATAGATTTTTTTTTTTTTTTGCAACATCTAGCCCTTTTATATGCTTGACATTTGCATAGCCAACAATTTTATGTGTCAGGTACCTGAAAGAGAAATTTCCACTTTAAACATTACAAAATAGTAAGTGAGACTGTTATCTTAAAAACAATGAAACGGATGTAAAATCTAAACTAAGGGCAAAACCAGGAGAAAGAAAGAAGGAAGAATTGCTGAGCAAAAGCAGATTGAAACTTTCAACTTAAAGCAGCACATATATTTCCAAACAGAGATCTGGACCCGGGAATAAAAATTCTATTTAATATGTTAACCAGTTAAACTATGTGTTTAACCATTAATTGGCCACTGTGTTGTGCCATTGGAGGAGATTCCTGCCCGCAGCATGGCAAGCCCGGCTGGGCTGCAGCACCAGTTAACCAGTAACCCTGGTAAGCATGCCAGTAAGGCAATACTTACCAGATAATCAGTTACCGTTTACATCTCTAATCTGGACAAGAAATGTTAAAATTCCCATCTACTGACTTTGATCTTTATCTGATTCGTTTTAATTGGCCAATCTTCAGGTGTTTACTGATTCTTCTGACTTCCTGTTTTTCCCTTGAATTTTTTTATAACCTCTGTTCCTTGTTTCCGCCCTCCCACCGTTTTTTCTTCCCCCTTCCCCCCTATGTATTTTGGGTCTGCACATCCTAAACTCAAAACTCCAGTCATCTGAAGAAGTGGGCTGTGCCCACGAAAGCTCATCATACCATCTATTTTACATGTTTTGTTAGTCTTTAAAGTGCTACCAGACCAGTTTTTGTTTTTTAAGTTTATCTTAAAAACATAGTTACACCAAGTAACTTCTTCTTTTAAACCTGATGGGGCAAAAAGGGAAGACACACTAATATGAATTTAGAACAGTAGAAACTCCAATCATCTTCTTACATGCAAATAACATCTTGGCTTCTATAACTCAGATTGCACTTATAAAATGTATCAGTATTTTATTGCTAATTAAGTCTCAAAGGATGCAGTTCAGAGTACACAATTTCAGAAGCAAAGTAGAGAAAAGCATGCCAGGAAGAGACATCAATAAAGAAAATAACTTTCTACATTTTCAATTATCTTCATTATATACATCATGTCTGATAAGATTTTCACCTCAAACTCTGTACAGGCAGTCCCCGGGTTACGTACAGGATAGGGACTGTAGGTTTGTTCTTAAGTGGAATCTGTATGTAAGTCGGAACTGGCATCCAGTTTCAGCAGCGGATGACTTGGGGACGCCTGGGGCAGAGCTGCTGGGGTGCTGCCGGGTTGGTCCAGTAGCGCCGAGGAGCGGCACTGCGGGACCAACCGGGCAGCGCCCCAGCTGCTTTACCCCAGGCAACGCGAGAAAAGCCTGGTCTGCTGGGGGGGGAGACCCCCCCCCCAGCAGACCAGGGAGATGCGGAGCAAAGCCGCGGAGGATGCGGGCGGGACCGCGGCGCGTCTTGGCGGTCCCACCGCCCGCGTCTCCCTGGTCTGCTGGGGGGGGAGACCCCCCCCCCAGCAGACCAGGGAGATGCGGAGCAAAGCCGCGGAGGATGCGGGCGGGACCGCGGCGCGTCTTGGCGGTCCCACCGCCCGCGTCTCCCTGGTCTGCTGGGGGGGGAGACCCCCCCCCCAGCAGACCAGGGAGATGCGGAGCAAAGCCGCGGAGGATGCGGGCGGGACCGCGGCGCGTCTTGGCGGTCCCACCGCCCGCGTCTCCCTGGTCTGCTGGGGGGGGAGACCCCCCCCCCAGCAGACCAGGGAGATGCGGAGCAAAGCCGCGGAGGATGCGGGCGGGACCGCGGCGCGTCTTGGCGGTCCCACCGCCCGCGTCTCCCTGGTCTGCTGGGGGGGGAGACCCCCCCCCCAGCAGACCAGGGAGATGCGGAGCAAAGCCGCGGAGGATGCGGGCGGGACCGCGGCGCGTCTTGGCGGTCCCACCGCCCGCGTCTCCCTGGTCTGCTGGGGGGGGAGACCCCCCCCCCAGCAGACCAGGGAGACGCGGAGCAGCCTTTCTCGCCCTGGAGGACGCAGGTGGCGGGACTGCGGCGCGTCTGGGCGGTCCTGCCGCCCGTGTCCTCCGGGGCGAGAAAAGCCCCGTTCGTAACTACGGATCCGACATAAGTCGGATCCGCGTAAGTCGGGGACTGCCTGTATATGAAGTGATGACAAGCAATTTGCTGAGTTCTTGTGAAATGTTCATACAATTTCATCATAATGTTTACTGTCATGGTGCCCCGAAAAAACACTGCACACTTAGTCACGTGCTTAATTAAAGCAGTGTGTGTAGTTTCACTGAGGAAAACAGGACTCCTTATACTGCATAATGTAAGCAAGACTTTGCAATATCAGAATCTATGAAAACCAGATGGTAATGCTCATGAACGAAGATGGGTGTTCAACTTGAACCCTTCTAAAGGAGCCTGCTTTACAGAAAGTTCAGAGCACTCACCTAGACCGGAGGCGGGCCATGAACCGCTGGCTGCCGGGCCACCATGATTCTGGAGGCCAAGGCTGGGAAATACCGCCCAGTTCTGCCGTGGCTACTGGGAGAGGCGGGTCCTGTCCTGCTCCACCTCTCAGCCAAGAAGCGCTGGGCCAAGGCAGGGTCTCCTCCTCGCTGCAGAAGAGTGCTTCCCTGCACAGCAGGAGGGCCACGTAGAACATGATGCAGCAGCATGCTGGACTCCGTGCGGCACTTCCGCTGTGCAGCAAACTGCTCTTCTGACACAAGGAGGAGATCCCACGCCGGCTCAGCGCTGGCTGGCTGAGAGGTGGGGCAGGACATGCCTCTCTCAACAGCTGGGGCAGGAGAGGAGCCGCTAGGCAGTGTTCCCCAGGTAAGGCCTCCAGAGCCGCAGCTGGGGGCTGGAAGGCAGCACACAGGTGAGGAGAGCAGGGCAGGGCTAGTGCTGGAAGGCTCTGGGGGTGAGGGGCTCTAAGAAGTGGGGGGCTAGCACTAGGTCTCTGGGAACTGGGCTAGTAGCGGGCAGGGTATGGGGACAGGGCTGATTCTGGGGGCTCTGAGGATGGGGCTAATATTGGAGACTGGGGGCTGGCACTGGGGGGGCTCTGTAGGGGTTGGATGCAGTAGGAGCCTGAAAACAGGAGGCTGACACTGAGGGGGTCTGGTGGTGGTGGGCTCTAAGGGGCAGGAGTCTGGCACTGGGTGACTGGCATGGGGGGTAAAGGTGAGAGGCTGGGTTGGGGGGTTGAATGCAGGGGAATCTGGGGTCAGTGGCTTGTGGGTAGTGGAGGAGTGGCAGGCTCTAGAGGTTAGGGCTAGCATGGGGGCTTTGGCAGCTGGGGCTTTTGGCTGACTGGCAATATTCTATTTGCATATGCATATTCATAATAAATATGCAAATATAATGTTGCTGATCTGCCAAAAGTTTGAGAATGGGTCTGCCAGTCCCCAGTATCAAGAAGGCTGGGAACCACTGACCCCTGAAAAATTTTGGCCTCAGTATTGAGCAGAACATCTGAGCACCATTTCTGCTTCATAAAAAAATTACACTGGATACCAAGAAAGATTGTGTGAAGTGTTGGCAATGAGGTGACTAAGTTAAATTTTACAAGAAATTATGTACAAATAAAGAAATTAACAGTTGACTTCACAAATTATTTAACAATAGGTCTCAAACCTTAATGTTAAGTTTCAGACCTGCATCTAAAGCTATTTGATGATGTTACACACTGCTGCTTATTAACGAACTAAAGGAATATATTGCACTCCAGTTGGAGATGGTCAAGATATAAGCCTCCCATTATTTTGGTCCCTGAACACTTAACAATAACCAAATCAGGTTTTTCTTTCCTTTAAGTAGTTACCTGTAGTGCTTTGTTGTAAAACATCTTAGCAACTCTAGAGTATTCTGAGGTCTTAAGATCAACGCCACCTCCTGGGAAAAGTACCCTAAAAACAATTAAATATTATTACATGTAAATAACTACAGGTCTAGGCAGAATACAGCGTGTAAACATGGACAGGACTGATAAGAACCCACAGACCTCATCTCACAGGAAGCACACTCCAAATAATATGATCACAATGTCTAGGTACTACAGTAAATTTCAACATTTAAAAAGGGGTAAGGATAATAATTAAAAGATAATATTTTCAGACCGAGAAGGTGAAACTGAAACATGTAAGTCCTACAAGATGAAAGGCCATACATAGAATTCTAATCTGAAACGTCCATATTATGATTCAATAGATGCAGTTATTTTATTTATTATTTATATAAAGTCAGATTCTCTCAGTCCTTACTTAACAGAGTAGGGGAGTGAAATGGGGTATGGGCCTCCCTTACTCACTTGTGCAACCCTCCTCAGATTGGAGCAGCCATTTGCAAGAGTGTGAGGGGGAAGGAATGAGAAGAGACTTCACTCAGCTCTCTTCATTAGCCAGCCTCATATGTTGGCCTGGGGAATAGCAGTCTTCACAAAGAGGGATAAAATAAGTTACTCCCTCCTAGGGGAGCAGGGAAGGAATTCTCATTCTGAATCACAATTCCTTCTCTGGCTTGCTCCTAGTGCTAGACAGGTACATGATTCCATTTACTCAGGGCAGAGAGTAGAACCTCAGACTACAAATTGACTAGTCAATCACACACCTCATTTGGAAGTCAAAGTACACAATCAGGTAGCAGCAGAGACTGGGATGTTAATGAACAGTTGTGTAATCGCATACAATATTACCGGTTACACAACTATTTGATAGTCCCCAGGGGCGAGGCTGGCAGCCAATGTACTCCTGCCCCACTCCTGGGGAGCGCCCTACCACCCCGCGCTGCTGCCTCTGTATCAGGCTCTACTAGGCTCACCGCAGACAGAGGCTGCTCTACGGGATGCGGAGCAGCCTCTTTCCATGGGGAGTTTGAAACTTCACTGCAGCTTCTCCTGCCTTCTCCCTCCCCACCCCTGCCATACGCTGCTGCCTCTTAAGCCACCTCCCCCCAGCACCAGCTCCTGCCTGCCCCTGCCCTCGCTGCCTCTGTAGGAAGCAGCGAGGGGAGGGCTGGCAGGTCCTCAGGAGCCAATACGCGTGGGAAGCTGGCTTGAAAGAGCTGCTGCCTCTCTATCAGAGCTCACATATCATCATGAGGGATGAGTTGAGTGATGCAAGGAACAAGGGAGAAATTTCAAGGAGGAAGTGGGAGAGGAAGAGGGTGAGGCAGGAAGAAGGATAGAAAAAGACAGGGTTGGAAGAAGATACAGAGAATGAGTAAACAGAGTAAGCAAGCAGCAAGAGCTGTGAAATAGCTTTGGCAAAATGAAGTCCATCACGGCAAGGTACAGACAACATGAGCAGAGTGAAAGTGGGCTGCTTGCTGGCCCACTACTCCTGAACGCAGACAGAAAAGGGGTGCCAAGATACCTGCAGGGCTGTAAGCAGTTATCTAACAAACTCCTGTTTAAGGAATGGACACAGATGATTTCCTCTTTTAGCAGGTGTGTGCATGTGCATTACTTAGCACATACCCGCATGAAAGGTTAGACAAGCATTCCCTACTTAAAACAACGAAGTATATGAGTCTGGAATCACCAAAGGTAAAACCAAGAACTCAACGATAAAATAACAGTGGCTCTGAGAACTGTTTTAGAGAGACTTTGTGTTAATAGATATTTTAACACAAAATTGATGCTTCAAAACTTACCCATTAATAGATTGGAAAATCTGATCATACTCTTCTTCTGTACGATTGAGTCTGAAATCACAACAAAGATAGTGATAGAAATGTAGCCGTGTTAGTCTGGGGTAGTTGAAGCAAAATGCAGGACAATGTAGCACTTTAAAGACTAACAAGATGGTTTATTAGATGATGAGCTTTCGTGGGCCAGACCCACTTCCTCAGATCAAATAGTCTATTTGATCAAATAGTCAAATAGATCAAATAGTCTATTTGATCAAATAGTCTATTTGATCTGAGGAAGTGGGTCTGGCCCACGAAAGCTCATCATCTAATAAACCATCTTGTTAGTCTTTAAAGTGCTACATTGTCCTGCATTTTGCTACAACAAAGATAGTTACAGGTATGTCTGAAATGTCTTCACATTTTACCATTAAAATACCAAAGGCACTTAATACAAGACATCTACAATAAGCATGGAAAATGTATAAAAGCATGTTTGAAAAGAGAGGGAAAATCCAGATCACCTCTTCCAGGGGTGAAACTTCTTACAGTCCTACACTATGAATTATACCTTACTCTTCTGGTCGTCTACGAAGAATATATGACTACAAAATGTGGAGTAATTGGTATGATGGGAGCAGTGTTGAAAATGAGCTGTGGACTACAAGGGACTAGAAATTGAATGAGTCAATATGATGCAGCTACAAAAAAGGCTAATATCATTCTGAGGTATCCTAACAGGAATGTCATATACATCACAGGAGGTAATTGGCCTACTCTACTCAGTGCTAATGAAACCACACTTACAGAAGGGTAAGTCTAACGTCAGTACTGGGCAAATTAGTTGAAACTATAGTTAAGAATAGACTTGTCAGATACATAGATGAACATAATTTGTTGGGGAAAAAGTCAACATGGTTTCTATAAAGGGAAATCATGCCTTACCGATCTACTAGGGCACAGCAGGGCTAAAGCCAAAATAAACTATGCAACTTGAGCAACATCAAAAGAGCTTATTTGGGCTTTTGGTGCTGTATACACAGCAGAAAGTCTGAGAAAGAGCACTCTTCCTTCAACTTCCCTTACTCCTCGTAAAACAAGTGTTACAGGAGTTGGAGTAAGATGTCCTCCAGCTCAACATTATTTTGACATTATGTCGAAATAACTACTTGTAGTGTAGACGCGGACTATGTTATTTTGGAATAACACAGGTTATTCCGAAATAACCTTGCTATGTAGACATAGCCCTAGAGTTCTTTGAGGGGATCAAACAGCATGCAGACAAGAGGGATCCAGTGACATAGTGTACTTAGCTTTCCAAAAAGTGTTTGACAAAGTCCCTCATCAAAGGCTCTTACGTAAAGTAAGTTGTCATGCAATAGGAGAGAAGGTCCTCTCATGGACTGATAACTGGTTAAAAGACAAGAAAGAAAGGGTCCATACTGGGACCAATCCTATTCAACCTATTTATAAATGATCTGGAAAAAGGGATAAACAGTGAGGCTGCAAAATTTGCAGATGATATCGAATGGCCATTTGGTTAAGATCGTTAAGACCAAAGCAGACTATGAAGAGCTTCAAAAAGATCTCATAAAAGTAAGTGATTCGGCAACAAAATGGCAAATGAAATTTAATGTTGGTAAATGTAAAGTAATAAACACTGGAAAAAATAATCCCACCGATACATAGAAAATGATGGGGACTAATTTAGCTACAACTGCTCAAGAAACAGGTCTTGGAGTTATTGTGGATAGTTCTCTGAAAATATCTATCCAGTGCACAGTGGCAGTCGAAAAAGCAAACAGAATGTTAGGAATCATAAAGAGATAGAGAATAAGACAGACAGCATTGCCTCAATATAAAACCATGATACACTCACATCTTGAAACTGTGTACGGACGTGGTTGCCTCATCTCAAAAAAGATATATTGGCACTGGAAAAGATTCAAAAAAAGACAAGAGGCTTGGCTTGGATTGGTTGTCATACGAAGAGAGATTACAAAAACTGGGACTTTTCATCTTAGAATAGAGGAGACTAAGGGGGATAACATAAGAACTAGGGGCCATCAAATGAAATTAATAGGTAGCAGGTTTTAAATAAATAAGAGGAATTTTTTCTTCATGCAATGCACAGTCAGCCAGAGGATGTTGAGAAGATCAGGATTTTAACAGGGTTTAAAAAGAACTAGATAAATTCATGGAGGTTAAGTCCATCAATTATCCAGGATGGGTAGGAATGGTGTCCCTAGGCTCTGTTTGTCAGAGGCTGGAAATGGATGACAGTAGAGGGATCGCTTGATGATTACCTGTTCTGTTCACTCCCTCTGGGGCATCTGGCATTGGCCACTGTTGGAAGAAAGGATACTGAGCCTAGATGGACATTTGGTCTGACCCAGTATAGCCCATTGTTATGTTCTCAACTGGAGTACTGGATCCAGTTCTGGGTGCCACACTTTAGGAGAGATATGGACAAATTGGAGAGTCCAAAGAAAAGCACCAAAATTGATTATAGGTTTAGAAAACCTCATCTATGAGGCTAAAAAAACTATGTCTCTAGATTATGAACATACAGGAAATGAAGATGAAGACAACTGAGTTAGCTGCAGAAGCCAGTATTTTAAGTTTCTCATGTCGACCTGGTTGACATAGTTGATTTAATTTTTGTTTCTAAAAAATATACATTTCATTCAACTATTTTAGTTAAAAACAACTTTAACAAAAACTTACTAAATTCAAAAATTCATATGCTTGTTTTGTTGAAAAAGTATATTTGCTGTTGAAGAAAAAAATCCAGACTATGTAACGTTGTTTTCAATAAATAGAACAATTCAAACATCTATCAGGTGATGTTCCCATAATTTAAATGTCTATCAGGTGATGTTTTTTTCCTAAACCAGCATGACAAGACAATCCTCTAATCCTCCTATTGAATTGCAGATAGTTCACCTCCCCGTGACTTCATAAATATCTGCTTCAATTACCTTTCGTAAATAAAATAACCAAACAATCATTCATTTTCTGATGTAGCTGTAAAACCAATCTGAAAAGTTTTCAAAATAAATCAGTTTAAAAATGTATAGCGTGTACCTTCTAAAAATGAAACCTACATCTATCTCTGAGTTGTGAAGAATATGGATTGGGGTTATTACAACCAACATGAATGCACTTTTATGTAGAAAACCATGATTAAACTGAGTCTTCCTGACTAGTGATTTAAATCAAAGCCATCCTAGGGATGTAATAGTATAGTTGATTAATCAATAAGCAAAAGCTGATAGGTTAATGCTATAGACTACATGCATCCCCTGCCCTTCACCACCAGTATATTTTTAGCAGGCTGGCCAGCAGCCCAGCTCAGTCTTGGCTCACGCCGGGTCTGGGACCTACCCCCTCTGTGACTCTGCATTTGAAGGCTATGTCTACGCTGGCATGAATTTTAACGGAAAAGTTTTCCGTTAAAAGCATTTTTGGAAAAGTGCGTCTAGATTGGCAGGATGCTTTTCCGCAAAAGCACTTTTTGAGGAAAAGCGTCCATGGCCAATCTAGACGCGGTTTTCCGCAAAAAAGCCCCGATCATCTTTTTCACGATCGGGGTTTTTTGCAGAAAACAGTACTATGCTGTCTACACTGGCCCTTTTGCGCAAAGGTCTTTCGGAAAAAGACCTCTGCTCGAACGGGAGCAGCATAGTTTTTCCGGAAAAGCACTGATGATTTTACATGAGATCGTCAGTGCTTTTCCGGAAATTCAAGCGGCCAGTGTAGACAGCTGGCAAGTTTTTCCACAAAATCAGATGATTTTGCGGAAAAACTTGTTAGTCTAGACACAGCGGAAGTGTATTAGAAGCCAGGCGGGCAGGCAGCCTGGCTCAGTTCTGTCTCATACTGGGTCCGAGAGCTCAGATCCCTCCCTGAAAAGGGGTTGCTCCCATCCCACACTGCTGCCTCTGTATCAGAGGCAGCAACACAGGGCAACAGGCAGCTGGTCCATGAGGGGAGCTGTTTTTTAAACTGGCACCCCTTGCAGACCAGCTCCCGCCTGGCACCCCATGCTACTGCTTCTTATGCAGAGGCAGCAGCACAAAGTGTAAGGTGCTCCAACCCCATTCCTGAGGAGCCCCACTAGCTGCTGGCCTCACCTCCGGAGACTACAGAACAGTCGAGTAACCAATAAGAATTCATTAGATTAATCCACTATTCAATTAACTGATATTTAACTCTAATCCACCCTGAGTGGAAGCTCTGCTAATTTCTTAATTCTGTCTCCACACCTATCAGCCTCAAGGAATTTAGGAAAGACAATACAGCATGGACCCTACCATGAATCCATGAGGCTCTGGGGACATCCCTTGCTGGTGTGTCTCCTTTGGAACCAGGGTGCCAGAACTGGTGCCGTGTGAGTATATCATTAACAGTGATTTATAAACAGGAGATTCTATTCCATTCCCACACTGGTTACTGACTTCAAGAGTCAATGGTGCTAGATTTAATTAATCCAAGGGTCCTGAGGGAGTTGGCAGATGTAATTGCAGAGCCTCTTGCCATTATTTGAAAACTTGTGGCAATAGGGAGAGGTTCCCAATGACTGGAAAAAGGCAGATGTAGTGCCCATCTTTAAAAAAGGGAAGACAGACAATCCAGGGAAGTATATCCGGTCAGCCTCACGTCAATCTCCGGAAAAATCATGAAGGGGATCCTCAAGGAATCCATTTTGAAGCACTTGAAGAGAGGAAAGTGAACAGGAATAGTCAACATGGCTTCACCAAGGACAAGTCATGCCTGATCATTCTGATTGCCTTCTATGACAAAGGTAACTGGCCCTGTGGACATGGGGAAGTCAGTGAATATGATATACCTTGACTTTAGCAAAGCTCTTGATATGGTCTCCCACAATATTCTTGTAGGAAGTTAAGTATGGGTTGGATAAATTGACCATAGGGTGGCTGGAAAACTCTCTAGAATGTCGGGCTCAATGTGTAGAAATCAATGGTTCGATGTCTTATTGGTAGTCGGTTTAAAGCAAAGGGCCCCCAGGACAAGTTCTAGGGCTGGTTTTGTTCAACATCTTTATTAATGACGTGGATGAGTTTTTGGATGACACTAAGCTAGAGGGAAAGGCAAGTACATTGTAGGGTAGGGATAGGAGCCAGAGCATCCTAGACAAAATGGAGGATTCGGCCAAAAGAAATCTGATGAAGTTCAACAAGGACAAGTTGACAGAAGAATCCCAAGCATTGTTACAGGCTGGGGACCGACTGGCTAAGCAGCAGTTTGGCAGAAAAGGACTTAGGGATTACAGTGGACGAGAAGCTGGATAGGCGTCAACAATGTGCCCTTATAGCCAAAAAGGCTAATGGCATATTTGGGTGCATTAGGAGGAGCATTTCCAGCAGATCTAGAGAAGTGATTATTCTCCTTTATTCAGAATAGGTGAGGCCACATCTGGAGTACTGCATACAATTCTGGGGCCCCCACTACAGAAAGGATGTGGACTCATTGGAGAGAGTCCAGTGGAGGGCAACAAAAATGATTAGAGGGCTGGAGCATATGACCTACGAGGAGAGGCTCAGGGATTTGGGCTTGATTAGTCTGCAAAAGAGAAGAGTGAGTGAGGGGAGTTTGACAGCAGCCTTTAACTACCTGCAGGGAGGTTCCAAAGAGGATGGAGAGAGGCCGTTCTCAGTAGTGACAGATGGCAGAACGAGGAGCAAAGGTCTCAAGTTGCAGTGGGGGAGGTCTAGGTTGGCTATTAGGAAAAACTATTTCACTAGGAGGGTGGTGAAACACTGGAATGGATTATCTAGGGAGATGGTAGAATCTCCATAGTATCGGCTTGACAAAGCCCTGGCTGGGATGATTTAGTTGGGATTGGTCCTGCTTTGGGCGGGGGGCTGGACTCGATGACCTCCTGAGGTCTCTTCCAGCCCTAAGAAACTATGAATTCCTGATTTACACATGTATCAGCAAGGTCACTTGTGCCCAGCTTCCTAAAACACACAAACCTGCCACATTCACAGTCCTAGCTTTCTCAATTTGCCCCTGCTTTCCACCATGCCAGTCCACTGCTGCCAGGACTGCATTCCCTACCACCAGCCCATTCCCTGAACTTGGCCAGCTGGGGCTCTCTGATTCTGGAGGACCACAAATGTTGACAGACCAGGGTGTCCCGGATTTGAGAGGTATAACCTGGACTACTTTAATCCCTACTAACATTGTACCTGGTGTTAAGAGTTTTTACATTTTTACTGTTGGCCAAGAAGTGCTCTTTCTGGCATCAGCCTATCGCCTGCAGACGCCAGAATTTTACTCTGATCAAGAACCTGGAATAGTTAAAAAATATAGAACTCTTTGTAGTAGTAGTCAGTAAGCCAGATATGAGAGCAGGGGTGACTGATGAGAGGGCACACAGGGGACCACATGACAACCCCTCCTTCATCTCAAGCCCCACCTCTCCCTGTCCTTCCTCAGCCCTGCCTCTTCTCCCCACCCAATGTGGCAAGAGGGACTCCCCCAGCCACATCACTCCACTTCTCACTGGTGAGCACAGAGGCAGTGTCACGCCATCCCCAGCACGGCAGAAGTGAGAAAGCAAAGTGAGCTGGGTCCAAATTATTCTGCTTTTCCTGCCACTGCTGGTGAGTGTGGGGAAGCTTAAGGTGAAACCCTGCTGCAGGTGCCAGGCCATGCCTCTCGGACCCCACCAGTGGCCCCTTGCCACTCCCACCCATGGCATTGGAGCAAAGCACATGCCCCCCACCACGTGTCGCTTCTGTATGAGAGGACTCAGACCTTGACACTTCAAGCACCACTGGCAGTCTCCCTCCATATCCTGAGCCCTAGGCATTATTTATGTATTCATGACACTACCTGGCTCTGAAGGCAACAGCATGCATTTAGAAACCTGACAGATCACAGCTAGCACCTGGGTCATACATGATGTCTGAAGATTAGAAAATACTTTTAATATACTGCATTGGCTGGCACCAGCTTGGTGTGAGTCTATCCTCTGATCTTTAAAGCGTTAAAAGCACTGTGCACCTTCTACAGCAGGGCTTGGCTACCTTTTCAAACTCAAAAGCCAAACTACATCAAAATTCAGAACAAGTGGTCAGCAAAGAGCCCCTTTGCATGACTAAAAATACAACTTAATATCATTGATAATTGACATGATGATTAATAATAGCATGAATGAAACGTACCCACAGACTTCATTTAATGGGACTTCTGCTGCTGCTGGGGGTGCAGTTTGCAGATGTGGGGGTGTAGAAGTCAGAGCTGGGGTATATGAGGGGCTCAGGGCAGGGGGTTGGGGTGTGTGGGAGGTGCAAGAGGCAGGGCAGTGCACTGGGGGTGGGAAGTAGAGTATGTGGGTGGGACCCTGGGACCAGATTACCTTACCTGGCCACGGCTGTGCTGCATGCAGCAGTGGTTGCATGAAGGTCCAGGCCAGGATCGCTGCAGCCAGACTGTGACCTTCCCTCCTACTCATGCTGCAGCAGGAGGAGGGCCACTGCCAGCCCTTCCTGTGGCCACATGGGGACCAGACCGTGGGGGCCTTTTCCAAGATCGGGGCCTAGGACAGGACACTGCAACCAGATGGGAACTGGGCCCCGACTGGGGCCTTATTGGCCAGGCTGCCACAGCCAGAGCCCAAGCCAGGCCACTGTGACTGGGCTGTTGCAGCAGTCGCAGGGACACTGGGGCTGGAGACAGACAGACCACAGCAGTTAGAGGGGGGCTGGAACCAGGCTACCAAGCCAGATGGAGGCATCTGCCACCACCAGCCCCTCACTATCCCAGCTGGCAGTGCACATGCGTCTCCTACAATGTGCCTTTTAAATGAGCAGAGTACCTGAGCCAGCTCTTTTACCTCCCACCTGTAACTATTTGGGAGCTTACCTTATTGGCACAACTCGTGCGCCTGCAGATTCTAAGAACTTCACATATGAAGCAGCAATGTAGGAACTTCCAAATCTATGGAAACCTGTAAAGTCACACTCCTGTGCCAATATCCCTAAAGTGTCCAGAAAACAAAGAAGAATGGTGCAAATTACAGTAAGTATAGAAGGAGTCCAGAAGAAGGCAAATTATATCAAAACTCTGATTCCTTTCACTATCTGATTTGATTCATACACTATACTGAGTAGTATCACACTTAATGATTTATTAAAAATGTGAAAATTGGAAAAATAAATCAGCATGATTCGTAATGGGGTATCAAATAAGACCATTTGAACAGTCTGACTAAATTCCCTGACTTATTTGATTAAATTCCACAACTTCTTCTAAACATATTTTCTGTATTTAATTTGTCTAGTGTTTAAATAAAGTATGTTTATTTATCAGGGCACTTTAAAGACAAGGTCCCATCTCCAAAGAGTTTAAAATCGAAATCCTGACCCTGTAGTCAGACTCTGGTCTCTCACAAAGTCCCATAGAATAAAGAAGAAACTCTCTTGGAATCCATCTCATCCACACAGATTGGCTCACAATACTGGGCCATAGTAATATGTATCAGAGTGCAGGTTACAGGCAACACAGGTTATTTCCTGTATGTCTAGTGAATGTGCTGCAGACTAGTTTGTGACGGCAGGTTGTGTTTGTCCATTTTAAATGTCCATTTCGCAACACACAGCCAAACCAGAACACTGCATTAGAACTTTTTCTAGACTGTTATGCAACATGATTCACTGTGTGTCAGCTTCTGAAAACAGCAAAACTGAAAAACACTATTTTGCAGACTAATTGCTCACTATTTACTTTACACATACAAAGCAAAGCTAGCTGAACTATTAACCGCAAGCTCTGGTAACATCTTTGGGTAAATTACCCACCTCCTTTTTAAAACAAAATTAGCATCTGTTCTTACTTCAAAAGTGAGCAGAGGAGCTTTTTGTAAAAGCTATGAGGAAGGTGGAGAATCCTGAATATCTCTGTGCCTCAATTCCCCCCTCTCCAGGATGCAGATAACTGTACTTCCTTTCCTCTTGGATGTTCTGAAGATAAATACTCCTAAGGCAGGGGTCAGCAACCTTTCAGAAGTGGCATGCCAAGATTTAACTTACTCACTTCTATTTACAAATCTGTGTGCAGGGGGTGGGCGGGGGGCTGAGTATGGGGACCATATTTTCTGAACCAGCTGCAGCTGGGGAGAACAGTTTAATTTAAATTAACAACAGACTAAGTGTTCTAACTTTCTCATGTTAGTATATCAAACTTCAATTTAAATATATTAAAATATTAATTTATGTCCAACACAAAAGGTTTCAATGGCAGGGGTGGGGCACTTTTTTTGGGTCAGGGGCCACTGTCCACAGAAAAATCATTTGGGGACCACACAAGTGAGAATCAAAAAAACTCATCCAAAAACCTCCAACCCTCACTGATGTGGCCCCAGCTAAGACACCTCACTCCTCTGGTGCTCCACCCTTTTAACTGTTTCAATGTAAAGAGCTCATGCCTCCCAGGCAGCTGTGTTGCTTAGCCATGCTGGATCAGATCGGATCAGACCAAAGGTCCCTCTAGCCCAGCGTCCTGTCTGCCGACAGCGGCCAATACCAGATGCCCCCAGGCGCAAGTCTTTTAAATAGATTCAACTGAAGGGGCTCATGGGTCTCTGGCCCCCGGGGCAACACACTAGCAGGAGGCCAGAGTTGCGAGCCCTTTCAATAGCAAGAATAGAAATGGCTTGCAGCTCCCATCTCCAGTTAATGTGATGCCTGGGAGCCACTGGGGAGGTGGGAGCCCTTTCAACACCTGCTATTTAAAGGCTCCGTCCCTTCTGTCCGAGGCCCCGCCCCTTCAAAATTTTTGAAGTGGCCCGCCCTCAAAAATTATTGCCCACCCCTGCAATAATGGATCTAAAAGTGACTATATCTATATCTATAGTTTAACCATTTAACTAACATCCCTATCCTGCACCTCAATCTCCTGCCCCAGGTCACAACCTTCTTTTTCATTCAAACTCCCTTTCAGACCCCACACCCTCTCCTACAATCCAATCTCCTACTTTGAGCTCCCTCCGTCACAGACCCACACCCTCTCCATAGAAAAGGACAGCCCTTGACCCACCACTCACAAAAACTTAACATGCCTACTCTCCCCCATCAAACATTATTGCCCATTGTTGACTCAAGCAGTAGCATGGACCTACCCTATGTGAGTGTTACTCAAACACAGGGCCATGGACCAGCAAGCCAGTCGCTGGTCTCAAAAAGGCTGGAAAACACTGGCTCTAAAAGATGCTGAGGTGCCCAGGCCCTACAGCAGTGGGAGTATATAAGTGCCCTGGATAGCCACTGTAAAATACGGATTTGCACCCGAGGGGGTGGGGCAGGCTAGGGTGTGTCACCAGCCTAACAAGTGAAACTGCCAAGCAGCTGAAGCAAAATGCAGGACAATGAGGCTGAAGCTTTATGCACAGAGGTGTGAGGGCTGCGGGAGGGGAGGGCTGGAGGGAGGAGAAGGTAGTTGTACGGCATTTTAAGGCGCGTCCCAAGCTGATGCTCTCGTGGTGATACCTGCCCTACCCACCCCTCTGCTCCCTCTCGGCTACAAGGACACCTCCCTCTGCACGCCAGGGCGGGCACCGAGCACGTCTCTATAGCTCGCACGCAGCAGCAAGGTGCCCCCCCATCTCCTCTTACCAATGATGGGTCTCTCGTTGCTGCCCGGCGGCCGTGCGGCGGCCAGCGCATTGGCGCAGAGGAGCAGCGGCAGGAGGAGGCAGGCGCCCGGCGGGGGGCGGGGCCCGGGAACTCGCAGCATGGTCTCCGCGCGGCCCTGCGCTGCCGCTGCCATGTTGCAGGCGCATCCCATGGGCTGGGCTTCCGGCGGCGGGGATAGTCCCTGCGGGCTGCACCCTGGGAAACGTAGTCTCGCTGCGGGGCTCCGCAAAGGGAACAGGCTCTGCGGGTTCGTGGGCCCCGGGCAGGGGCACCAGGGCTTTCCCCACGTGTCCGACGCTGTCAGTAAACCCTGAATGCAGCGTAAGAGCACAGACAGGACATGTGAGCCGCTGTTCTCCCGCCTCCGCTTGCACGTTGCCCCTGCGGGCTGCACCCTGGGAAACGTAGTCTCGCTGCGGGGCTCCGCAAAGGGAACAGGCTCTGCGGGTTCGTGGGCCCCGGGCAGGGGCACCAGGGCTTTCCCCACGTGTCCGACGCTGTCAGTAAACCCTGAATGCAGCGTAAGAGCACAGACAGGACATGTGAGCCGCTGTTCTCCCGCCTCCGCTTGCACGTTGCCAGATCATCTCTGATACAAAACTGTTGACTATGTCGACATGTGAGAGTGCTTGACACACCGGCTGCTGATGCTGCATGCACTCCTAAAGCCTCCGGCTAAGCTCTGGGCTACATTTGTTTACTATATTTCTTACCGTCCTTTTGTGCTTTAAAACAGGGGAGAGGGGTAATGATTTTGCCCATTCGGATATAACAACAATGCACCCACAGAGAGAAAGAGCAGTAATAAGTAAAATAGAGTACTAAGGCAATTGGAAGTAAATAACAAAACCACCCATAGGAACAGGGTTCAGGACTAATTCCACACTACAGGGCTGATACAATGCCCTGGGAAGTCAGCACTGCCCATGTGAGTTCAATGGGTACAATGGCCTCAGTTCTGTAGTCCTATTGACTTGAAATGGGATTTACGCATATGTCAAAAGTGTTGCTGAATGAGGCCTGCACAAAGCCTGAAAACATAGTTCATGGAACTCCCAGATGTTGCTCTCTCTACACACATTCTTTCCAGGCCCCCCTTAGTGTAATATTCAGAGGAAGTGGGACCACAGAAAATTAAACTCTTGTCTTTGTCTTGCTTTATTCTGCCTAGGAGATTAAAGAGTCACTAATGGCAAGTACTTAAAATAAAATGAAATAATTCTTCACACTGGTCCAAATCTTTATTTTATCTTTATTCCAAATCTCTTGAAGCCTATCACACAATTGTCATTGACTTCAGTGGGATCAAGATTTGGCTTGCATCAGTACATAATCAGCGCACAAAGTCAAACACTGTAGTCAGAGGGAGTTGATAATTGTGTGACCAGTAAGAGTATTGGTAGCTTATTAACACTTTTACACTCCACCCAAGGTCTACAATATGGAAGAAAGAAGGAGAGAGAGATAAATATAAATAAACTCAAGTACTAATGGATCCAAAAAGGCACAACCATTGTCACCCCAGCCACTGAACTCTGTATGTTGTATCTTGTTTCCCCACCTTTCTTCTGTCTTTTTAAGTCTCTTTAGGTTGTAAGATGTTGGTGACAGGGACTGTTTCCCCTCTGTATCCATAAAGCACATTTTGGGTGCACAATTCTAATGTAAGGACTTGATTGTGGAGTAACTTCAAGCCTTATGTAAAGAGTAGTGCACATAGGAGCAGGGCCGGATTAAGGGGGAGGGGGCTAGCAAGGCAGCTGCCCGGGGCGCCAACCTATGGGGGGGTGCCTGATGTCAGCTGTAAGGGGCGCCGTGCCTCTGGACACATGGCGCCCCTTAGAGTTGCCATCGGGCGCCGCACACCTGGGGTTGGGGGCCGCGTGGTGCCCCTTAGAGCTGCCATCAGGCGCCGCACATCCGGGGCTGGAGGCCACGTGGCGCCCCTTGGAGTTGCCATCAGGTGCCGTGCGCCCAGGGCCGGGGGCCACACGGCGCCCCATAGAGCTGCCATTAGGTGCTGCGCGCCCGGGGCCAGAGGCCGCGCACCTGGGGCTGGGGCCTGTGCGGTGCCCCTTAGAGCTGCAATCGGGCGCCATGCGTCCGATTGCAGCTGTAAGGTGTGCCGGGGGGGCAGGCCATGCATGTGTCGTGCGCCTGGGGTGCAGGAATAGCTCAAGCCGGCCCTGCCCAGGAGCAGAGCTGAGACTGAACTGAGTCTGAGAGAGTCATGATTTAATCCCCGATTCCCACTTTATACCTGGGAGAAATGTAATCTGTAGAAGCACTTTACCTGACATATATTATATCTTCCTTCATGCCAGCTCAGCAGTGCTGGTTGAGAGGCTGGGAAAGAGGTATAGTCTTCCTCCCAACCTGAATGGAACAGGAGTAGCAGTAACTCATGATGCAAGTAACCCACACAGCTGAGTAGTTGTGCCTTAGACATCCTTACTCAGGTGCAAATGGAGAGCCACAATCTTCTCCTAAATAAATAAATAGGACATGATAATACTTGATATAGTAAAACATAGATAACCAAGCCCATGGTTCAGAACTAGTCTCCCCAGATGATAAATAATTTCCCAGGTTCAGTAATGCATAATTACCAGGGGGTAGCATTGCAGTAAAGGGTATTTTGTTTTGTGTCTTACTTTTTTCAGAAGCTTCGTTATGGGTCAATGGTGGAAATGGGTTACCAGACACGAAGGCTTCTTGGTCCAGTCCAATACTTTATCACGGACAAAAGCTATATTCCTATTTAATACAGTGTAATGGAATTTAATTCCTGTTCTGATTCATAATGGTGTAAAGAAATCAGTAACTGGGATTTAACTTTCTCTGCCTTTTAGACACTGTACATAGTATACCGACAAATGACTGAAACTATTGTTGTGTGTTGGACAAATCAACAAAACTAAGACCCAGGAAACTAGCCAAATGCCTAAAGTCACTCACTATATTAAGCAACAAAGGGAGAAAACCATTTTGTGGTTGGACTCTCACATTTAAACTTGCATTCACTACAAAAGGGTTAGCCTTTCTTATGACATTTATGTATATAGTGCTATAACTATTTGCTGTTTGTATTATAGCAGTTGACATAGCATGTCACACTCCCAACATACTTCTTAAAAGTTCTACTGTACTAAGTTCTTATTGTACTAATATACCAAGAGCATTTTGTAAATATTAATCATGATTGTTTTCTAAACTGACCTCAAATGATTTCTTGACCAAAAAATTTCACAATCTTTGTGTGTGTTAGCCAAAAATACAGTTAAAATTCCAATATTAAAAAGTGTTTTATTTTGGTCTAATGAATGTCTGTAATCATGGCTTGTGCTCAGTTATTAGTGCTGTTTTTCTCTGAACGTTAGCTGATCCTAGCTGATCCGAGTTATCAATAAGATGAACTTGAGCTAAACCTTAGCGTGCTCTTTTATTGTAACTCTTAACCCTTAGTAAATTGTGTCCAGGTGGTTGGAAAGGTAATTAATTAATGCAGGTGTTTTCTTTGATTAATAAGATAATGATCTATCAAGAGATGCTTTTAGTTTATCAGAAACTGCTCTCACAGATGCTTGTTGTCTTAAGTGTACTGTAACTAAAATATTAGTAATTAAAATGGACAGTGAACATGTGGTATAGCAGATGTGTTCTATAATCAATATAACAGCAAATCATGTATTGATTAATGTCTAAGAATTAAGAGTTTCTTGTGGTTACAGATGGTCCCAGCAGTAATAAAATAGTTACAGATGTCATTGGCTTATTTAATTAGGTTAATTGAGAATTTTCAAAATAAGAACAAAGCATAAGGAAAAAATGATTTTAAAGGCGTTTTCTTGTTCTGCACCAGTATGTGAGATGATGTAATTCTATGAACTAGTTAGAACGTGCTGCCTTGTGAAGCCTCTCCCCAGACTGGTTTGGTATGTATACTTTTCCTTCATGTACTGTTCTGTTATTCTTTGACTAATAACCTCTGATTAACTAATTCCAGTTGAGCTGAACATCTGACAGTTTGCATTGTTTACTTTGGTTAATAAATTCAAACACACAACTGAGCTTACCATTGAAGATAGACACAAGCTGGGAAAGGCTACAGAAAGGGGAAGTAAGGGTGCCCAGTGTCATGAAGCAGGTCAGTGGAACAGCAGGAAATAAACCCCAGGTCTCCTGTCTCTAAATCCAATCAAGGATGCTGCCTCCCTAGTTAATTTCAGCACATTCTCTTTCCTGTGACACTCACCTTGATCTTGGCCATATGAGTTCAGCTGCAGACATCACACATTTCCTCAGTTCCAAGGATCCTCTGAAGTTTGCCAGCTGAGCGGAGGCCCCATCACTAGGGCTAAGGACTGCTCAAGTACAGTAGGAAGCTTAGTGCAAAGAAGCACAACGGGAGAGAAACTAGCCTGAAATCTGTTGTTGTGCCTATGTTACCCGCACAAATTTCTCTATCCCTTTCACATTTTAGGGAAACAAAATACAGGACTATGCAGCACTTTAAAGTGCTACATAGTCCTGTATTTTGTTTCAGCTACACCAGACTAACACAGCTACATTTCTAACACTTTAGGGACACACACCTTTACCCAGTTCCTAGGGCTCAAGGTGCAACCCGGTTAATTTACACACCCATCCTTACCCAATTCCTAGGGCTTGGGGCATAACTTCCTGCGGGTTTGTAGGATCTTTTGCCACTGAAAGCCTTACACAGTAATATTCTTATTCTCTATTTATTGACAATTCCCAAGCAAGCAGAATACACACATGCTAAGCACACAGTGTCATGCTCACCAATCCTGATATAGGCAGGCAGACTTACCATTGTCCAGGCAAGGTCAATCTCTCTGGATCTTAGCTACTACACATCACAGTGGAGCAGAGGAGGCTGTGTCTTGGAGGTGAGTTCTTTCTGGTCTTTCCTCCTTCATTTTGGTATTTGTTTGTTTCCTTTTTCTTTCTTTCTTTTTCTTTTCCTTCCTTTTGCTATAACATACATTTATTACAACTGACTTATTATTTACAAAATTCCAATTCCAGTACTACATAAGCCCCCAGCACCACCCCCTCTGGAGCATAGTCCACCCACCTTGCCCAGGACCCACAAAGTCTATTGCCAACCCTGATGCTGT